CAAAAAATATGACAAGGATAATGTTTACTATAAAAGCATGTCTATGACAAAGTTAAATAAGAGTGTGGAAAGTGGACATCCTCGATTGACACCACTTGAAGTAGAGAATTCCGAAGACAGTTTTCCATAGGCTCTCACCCGACCAGTGGTGTTCGAGTAGAGGGGACTTACGTCGACTTGCCATTCAGGATGACTGCAGATTGTGTGCAGCCGAAATGTGGCTGAACGCCAATTAAACTGATCCCTGAAGTGGTCTGCCCATCGATCCAATCTCCTGAATCGAGAATGAATAATAAGTCCGTCTTTTTCCGAAATAGTTTCACTTACAATCGGATTCCTAATACCGGTTTCCTTGATGAGTCTGAATAGTAGTCTACTGTTGCCTATCGCCACTGCCTTTTCCATCTCTCTTGCTTTCGCAACCCACCACTGTTCACGGTCGTTGTGTAGGCTTTTTGTCGGCCTGTCCCTAAGCTGACTTCGTTCTTCATCATGTTCAGAGCCAGGTGGGGTGAGTTTACGAGCGTCTATCAGTTCGGTGGATGCTGCTGAGATCCACGGTTTCTTCCTAGCCTTATAGTTTAACTTACTAGCGGATATCACTGCTGTTTCTACAGCTCTTTTGATATGATTCGAAGCTGCCTCATGGTGGGTATCACTTACTGTTTTTCTGGTTGTTCCTGAAATATATTCTTAGCTTTATTATGATTAAGTAGAGCCCCAAGAGGTTTCCTTGCGATATTTTTCTTCCGTCCAGTGAGACGCAAACAAATACGCGCCTGCACTAGAGCATGGTCCGAGTCTAAACAAGTGCTCCAGAATCGGCGGCAGTCTTCAATAGCGCCTTTCCGCTGATGGCTTATAGCGATGTGATCTAGTTGGGAGTCGAGAGGTCAAAAGGTGTTCTTCCTTATACTTTAGTGTTTGCTAGAAATAGGCGGCTATCTGAGCATGGCTGCACCAGACGGTCGCTATTATCTGTTCTATCAACCGCGACACTATAAGATCCACCCAGATGTCTTTCCTTTTCTCTGAGTCTACCTACTTGAGCATTGAAGTCACTAGCCATTGTTACTACAGCAGAGCGCCTAACGTTTCGAAGGAGGTTCGAAAGTTTCCTGTAAAACTTATCTTTCACCTCGTCTGAGATGAAATCAGTGGGTGCGTAGGCAGACACGACGAAGAGACAACGACGGGTGTCCCTATCTTTCCGAGTCCTTACTGTCCTAGTTCTGCCGTACGACTCAATGCTATAACTACACCAGCAAGGTCCCCGGAAGCAGAATCAGGACTACCGGATACACGAAAGTAAATCTAGCTGCTTCTTTATTTTGACAAGGAGACAGACGAGGACAGATACAACGCAGAACTTCGTACGTACGTACATCAGTTCAGGTTGCCATGCCCAATCAGCACAGACGCAACTGTCAGTTCAAATCCAAGAGTGATAGTGACAGTAGAAGTATAAGCAGTAATGGAGAAGATTAGGGAGTGTCGATATGATTCGAGAAGTATAATTCAGTAAGATAAACTTAGAAGGAGAAAGGTAGAGATTATGAAGAATTCGGAAGGTTAGAATTTCATAGAACACAAAGAGTGGATGCACCTGCGCCATCGCAAACGATTCTGAGCCATGTCGTTCAAGGTCTCTAACCAAGGAGAAATCAGATTAACAATTTTACTGGAATCCTGTATGCGCGTTTCCGAGACGCAGCATACATCGATGGCACGAGATTCTAAAGTTCTAGCTAAGGAGGCCTCTTGCCCTATTTGACACAGTGTCCGTACATTAAAAGCTCCAACATGTAGTCTAGAACGAGGTTTCAAGAGACCAGGAATGACGTTTCGTGAACTCGCACCGTTTGCATTAGGGGTGCAGTGAGATAAGAGAATGTGAGTAGATTTAGTTGTGGAGAGAAGAGAGGTATGTGTGAGTGTAGGAAGGATTCGATTATGACCGGTTTTGTCTCGCGTGCTGTTACGGGTATGAGGGTGGTTGTCACTTCCCGGCTGCCCACACCGTGGAAGGTTGTTTCTTGAGGGACCTGAAAAGGAAGATAGATTAATGTTGGTCTTAGAGACCTGTGAGCTTGACCGCAGAGCTCAATGGACAACTGCTTGAGGCCGGTCACGCACGGCCTTTTGGTGAGAGGTTTTTTGAGTGTTAGCTCCGCTCTTTTTAAAGCCCTTAGTGGGCACCCTTACCACCGGAGATGGAAATCCGTGAGGTCAGGTGAGGTGTGACATTTTTAGGATCGACGTTTCCTAAGTATTAGTACGTAAAATCACTGTGACCAATGAAATCAGTGAACTAATAAAACAAACTTTGCAAGTCAGTCATTATACTAGTTATAGAAGAATAAAAAAGGAAGTAGTAAGACAGATTAGCTTGAAGTAACAAGGTGTATTGCTGGAATACACAACTGTTTCTTACATTTGGCAATCAACTTATCACTGTTAGTATATCCGCTCACTCTACTTAATGAAAATAATAACATTTGCCTGATATCGATCAATTATTCCAAACTAGATAAATAAACGTCATAGATCACGTATACATCTCTACCGCTTTTGAGTGTGTGTTATAACACAGGGAAATAGTTATCAGGGTGGCTAGAATAATTTTCCATCTAACTAACTAGTGAAGTGACTACCACCTCATACTGAAAATAATAGAAAATAATTGAATAAGATATAAGGAAGGAAAGATATTATGAAACACAAATATTTATCTACATGAACAAACAAACAAATAGACGGATTATATATAAACATGAATAATCTATGCATTAATTTACGTTACAAGTTTTAAGAATAAATTAAGCATGGAAAAACAATATCATTCGACAATATGATAATAACCATTAATGTTATTATTTGAGATTAAAAGGACAATTAAAGAAGTCGGTAATATAACTTACCAGTTCTGTATCGATCGATTTCTCCCAACGTAATCTTTCCAACAATTTATGAGCACATGTTCCACTACTTTTAGTTCGTTCAATAACTTGTTGATATGGTGAAACATTTTGTGTTCCCATTACAATAACACCCTAAAAATGTATAGAATGCAAAAGAAATTTTAATGTTTACAAGTTTCGTCAATTGTACTACAATTGTTACAGAGAAAAAAACTAATTGATGTTGTTACAGACAGCAATCGATGAATTTTATAAATTGAATATGAAAAATAGAATTTGCCCAGATTATATAATCAACTGTTATTAACAATGACATCACCAAGACGAGGCAAATAAGTATGAATGATAAAATTTGACAACACTAGATTTCTTTGATTATCAGCATATATAGTTCTGATGCAAATTTAAAGAGCGCTTAGTTCAAATGGTTTGGTGTATCTTTCCGTGCATTGTGAACTTCTATTTGATTCATTAACTGTTGTTTAAAAGTTTTAGTTACGAAATAATTGCGTGAATTAATTATCAACTTAAGATGGGAGCAATATGGGATTTACTATATATAGTGAGTTGACATGAAGTTATCCATCCGTTTTTCAATCGTCAGCAAGTATGTGGTTTCTAGAATTTTCGGATATATTTTAGTTCGTTTATTGAGTAAGTGCTCACTGGAGACTTCATTATCGGCACAAACTTTTATTTATTTTCTATCTAGCATTTGAGATGCGCTGCACCAACGTCTTCATAGCAGATAGATGTGGTTAAGTTAAAATGTTTTTAACCAATAGAAAGAACTTTATAATAATACAATACACATATTAAATTAACAGGACCTAAAAGCGGCATTTGACTCAGTGGATCGTGAGGTTCTGTGTCAGTGTCTGTCATTGAAAAGTGTACCAAAAAAATACATTAACCTTATACAAGCTCTCTACTCGAACATCACTGGTCGAGTGAGAGCTTATGGCGAACTGTCAGGAGAATTCTTTACTTCAAGTGGTGTTTAATTTTATCATAGACATGCTCTTAGAAATAACCTTATCCTCGTCTGAATTTTCAGGAGTAGACCTATTACCAGGAGGCTCGCCTATCGACTTAGAATATGCCGATGACATAGTCCTACTTGGTGAAGACGCTGACAAATGCAGTCTCCTGATTATCCTAAGCAACAATGCAAGCATGTTCGGGATGAGGTTCTCACCTTCGAAATGCAAAATGTTACTTCAAGATTGGGTTGCATCGGCACCTCAACTAGTGATAGGGAGTGAAGTAGTCGAGCGGGTCGACCGCTTCACTTATCTGGAAAGTCGCATCAGTGCTGATGGCCTGGAGACTGACGAAATCTCTGCACGTATACAGAAGGCTCGGCTGGCCAACGCCAACTTACGTATGTTCTGGCTCAGGCGAGATATCCGCTTGCTGACCAAAGTACGAGTGTACTGCTCAGTAGTTCGCTCCGTCCTACTATATGCTTGTAAAACATTGCCGTTAGGAGAAGAGGACTTTCGCAGGTTAGTAGTCTTCGACCATCGTTGTCTCCGAAGCATTGCTAGTGTATCCTGGGATAACCAAATAAGCAATGCTGTCGTTAGGAAACGAGTTCTAGGTAGGGATGGCAAATCAATAGATGAAGTAGTGAAACCTCATCAGTTGAGGTGGTTGGGTAATGTGTTACGTATGTACGTACGAAGTTCTGCGTTGTATCTGTCTCTCTGGAAATTTCTTGAAAAATCTGGATAATGCACATCTTTACTAAACATTAAAAAATTGACAGACATTCTAACACGGTCTTTCAGTCCCTTAATTCATTTATTTAATCACGTGTTTTTCAGTTGGAGAGAATATTAGTTGTGTTATTCTAGCGTACTAATAGAGGTTTCGGGAAAAATATTTGCGCACCCCAATAAGCGTAGACATAACAACTGGTTACTGAGTTTATAGGGTCAGAAACATTGATTTAGGAATAGCAGACTCAAGATTATACTGAGTAACATAACAATCAGATCATTCCCAGGTAGTCAACATTTCTTAACGATATTAAGCGACGGGGACCTCCTAGAGTTTTGAGGGTATTTACTTTTAAACTGTCCAACTATTGAGGCAGTGTTTTAGGTTTATTCATTAACTAAGTCACTAATATATACAAAATCCGTTTTTATTTACTTACATCCTTTTACGAAAACATTACAAGCTCTAGAGGTGCTACACTTGAATTCATATTGTATTATTCGTGTGGTGTGCACTAATATATCGAACGCACAGAGCTTATCCCAGACTTTAGACAAATTAACTAATCCATTCTTCTCGAGTTATTATTCACACGTCTTTTGACCTCGTTAATCATTCGCTCATATCTTGGTTGCGTCTGCTTGAGTGCGTATGTGCATGCTTACTTCGCTTAATACAGGTCTAAACTATTTTCACCTAACTATAAATACTCAGTCATTCCTGATCGTATCGAGTTGGTTCACTAGCCTTCTCCGCTCCGCTTAGTTTTAATTCCACATTTTGTACTCTCGTGTCTGCCCGAGCGAACGATTGCATGGAATTCATCCGCAAAACCGTATTTGGCTTCTTATTACCACTGTCGCACTAAATCGGTTCGCCTAAGTATGATATACTGAAAAAGAAGGGAAGATTTATTTCATAGCATATTTAGTTGTTCGTATATATTGGACCACTAAAGTGGTGAGCCCTACTTTGAATTCAACGCAGCCACTCTAGTCGGTATATTTTTAACTGTTTATCCATTGGTAGAAACCTATGTGTGTGAAGAAGCTTAAGTAACTAATCTAAAGACTGTATATATTATGCAACTAGTCATCTTTAACACCTACTATTAATTTACATTTTTGATGTGACTACACAGATGAATATTAACCTGTTTCCTATATGTTAAAAATTTTCATAGACTCCGAGTCGAGTAGATAGACAGATATACTTCACAGTTACGACCCAATATAGTTGATCAACTTCATCCATTGCGCTGAAATCGCGTGTTAAGTTTGCGTTTCCTATCTGAATTTTCTTCATCACCTTTTGTATACTGAGCTAGACTACTTACTAACATTCAGTAAGCCGCTTGAATTCTAATGAATTTTGAGCGAAAAGTATGTTACCTTTATTCGTTGTTAAGTAGTATTTCTACTTGGATGACATTAAGTTTACGGTTATTATTATTATTATTATTATTATTATTATTATTATTTCATCTCATTAACACTTGCAGTGGTCATTCTCAATTTCAACGTATTCGTTGAATATTTGTTTTACCGTAACACCAGCTTTTTGTTCGTCGTTATCATTTATCGTCTGCTGTTGTAATTTTGACAGAGCTATAAGTTGTCCTTTGCTAAACACACATGTTACTGTATATAACTTTGTACACCTATTTTAGCAATAATCCTCCCTTGACTGTACAATAGAACGATAACTACTTTTGACATCTGACGAATTAAGGTCTGTGATGCACTGAGAATATTTTCGTTATAAACAGTAATAATCTTGTGTTGTAGATAGCCAAAGTTAACATGACAGTTAATCGTTTAGTTGAAGGATTCGATAGGATTCAATACAGAGTCTTACACTTAGCAGTAACGAAAAGTGCTATTCTCTACCCATTACTTAATTCCGAGGCAACAATAAATATTCAGTTGAAAAATGATACCTGTTTTACCTTTTGTGAATCAATCTTTGCATCCATACGAGCGTTACGTATTAGATTTACAATCCATTTTTCTGCATCATCCACATCCATGTTCAATTTTTCAGCAAGTACACTTTATCATTAAAAAAAATCTCTGAAATAACTGTAAATCAATAACTAAATAAGAAGAATATAGAAGAGTTCGACTAGTGTTCGGAACTAAACAACAAGACATTAGTTACTGCTAATCGGCAAATCCATGCAAAGATCTGTCCTCTACACAAAATTAAAAGTGGTCCGAATAACTCACTGATAACATCTTTGATCATGACAGTGAAAGAAATGAGCTCAAATTCAATAGGAACAATGAAATACTCCAGGTTCACATGATTCGATTAATATGAAGCCAAAGTCCAGATATTCAGTGCCAAATACAACGAGGACTAATTTATGATCACGCTACAGTTTGATTTTATTTAAAGTATCTATTATTATTATTATTATTATTATTATTATTATTATTATTATTATTATTACTGGATTAAGAATTTTTAAACGGCAATCGTTCTTTATTAATATTATGTGTTAAAACTGTCGAATAGCAGAGAATTTAAAAAGATGTGGTTGAGAAACATTTTCAAAATGAAAGCCTTGTTTTTAAACAACAGGACTGATCCTTTTCGTGCTTATTTTATAACAGAACAAGAAATCCCATTAAAATTCGCCAGCAAATTTCATAAAGATGCAGTCTTACAGAAAGTCAATCGTTATCTAACCAGCTCAGTAGTAACATTTTAGACTGTAAAGCTGAGTACTAATTGCCTGAAAATAGTAAGCACATCTTACTTAAAGGTTCCAACTACGAAGGAAACTAAGTAAAGCAGAATGTTCCCCACACTACCCAACATCAAAACAGATTAGACTAGATGTCGAGTAACATAGGCTATGATAACATTTATTTCATAGAATTCAACCACCAATATGGCGAATTACTGTTCATTGATCAATAAATGCAAAATAAATGAGAATGCAGTAATAAATCAGTTGACATACCTTATTCCAACACTATGATGTATTCGACAGAATGATTCAAACATCAGTAAACGAGCATTCTCCATAAATTCATCGTAACATCCGGTTAGGAAGAAATCATTCGGTAAAACCTTGAAAGTATTTTGAAATTACTTTGTGTAGGGACAATAATAATGTGTAAACACCACTAAGAGTAAGAGACAATTGTCAAACATTACATTTGAAATGCAACAGAATACCACTCGTGTACGTTCAGTTTGAGCCATAATTCAATGGTGTGAACAGGGTGGTGATACTATCATATCAGACTAGCTACATTAGACCAGGACGCAGATTTTAAACTTACAAATGCTTCAATGCATTAAGCCACTATTACAAACACAGACACAGAGAAGACCTGAGAACTTGCTTTTACATTAAACTGAGTGCAACCGTTTTTGTATTTCACTATTCCAAATAAGATAATATTCATAAAATTTTTCAGTTTTTTTCAATCTAGTTAAATCATAACTCATTATATTGAGTGAGACAGATGGATTAAAAATTTGTAATTCTCAAGATCAGCAAATAAAATTCGCAAGAATACTTTTAAACCGTAAGAAGGAAAACAACTTTCCCGCGTTGTTCTGGCCTTATTTACATTTAAGAATATTAAAGATTCCCATTGTGAAAATTAGAACAATTATAAGCAAACAAAATTGTTTTCGATTAGATCGTCATCAGGCTTTACTCTAATATACATGAATATTTATATGAAAATGTTAAACCAATCAAGGCAGTTTGAGTGATAATCACAATGAAATGAAAAATATGATAACTAAAGTTTTATCAATAGTAGGTCAAACGTGGATGAATAGACTTCAAATAATCATTAAAAAACATCAAAACCATTACGTAATAAGCAAATGTGTAAAAATAAAAATAAAATAAAAAATATAATGTCAATGAGGCTACAATTCAACGGATATGTGGCCTGCGATACTCTGCAGGACAGATTAATAAGAGTAATTAATAGAACATTCAACGTTGCCAAACTTGAATTGATATTCTCCAGTCGACCAGCGATGTCTACCCGAACGAAGGATAAGTTACCTGAGTTGGCCTCCTCTATGTGCATTTACAAATTCAGCTGCTCCTGTGGAGATAGCTTTATCGGGCGTACTTCCAGGCAACTTACACAACGAATGAGTGAACATCTCCCAGCATGGTTTACGAAGGGTCAGTCAAAAACAATACGCAGTTCTATCTTAGCACACCTGGTAGACAGTGGTCACGTTGTAGATAAATCTATATCTTTTCGGGTGATCTATCGTATACCTCCATCATTTCCCAACGGAGTTCGATCCCGTCTCCTACACATTGCAGAAGCCATAGGAATACGTACATTCAACCACAATTTATGTGTTCAGAAGAAATTCGTGACACCCCTATCTCTTCCGTAGCCGGATATAACGTAACTAACGATTGACATTATATTTTTTATTTTATTTTTATTTTTACACACTTGCTTATTACGTAATGGTTTTGATGTTTTTTAATGATTATTTGAAGTCTATTCATCCACGTTTGACCTACTATTGATAAAACTTTAGTTATCATATTTTTCATTTCATTGTGATTATCACTCAAACTGCCTTGATTGGTTTAACATTTTCATATAAATATTCATGTATATTAGAGTAAAGCCTGATGACGATCTAATCGAAAACAATTTTATTTGCTTATATGTTCTTATTTGGATTTGTTTAAATGTTAAATTCTACAAAGAAAAATGAGAAATCCAAGACAATATACAAAAGTATATTCAACCACCCAACTCTAAATTCAATAGTTTAAAGACAAATCATCAACAATAATAGTTAAGAAAGACTTACAGTTTCACAAACTCGAAGTTTTTGTTGTGCGCCATCAAAATCAAATTTCACAAATAAGCATTCAAAGAATTCAGTAACTGGATCACGATAAGAATAACTTTCTTGTTGAATGAGATACTTTAAGTCTCGTATGAGATTCTTTTTCTTTTTATCAGTACTAGTGATCACGCACACAGTGAGATATCTCAATAAATGCGGTGCTAACGTTTGAATAGCGTTCAAATGACTGTTTGTTAAAAAAGGAGAGATTTTGATTTTTGAACATAAGTAAGAAGTCTTTCTATTTAATTATTACTGAAAATAAAGTATGATATAATATAGAGGATACTTTATTAACTGATTACTTAAAAGTAATTCCTACAAACTAAGAAATAAACCCGACCATAGCAGCTCCCTTGATATGATGGTCCGGCTTGTCTATCGTGATGACCAAACCGAGCTATGTTGGATGGAACATACGTTCTTTTAGGTCCTAACATGCCAGGTAGTTCGACTGGATAACGTAAGACTAAAAGCAGCTACTGAAGGTCTGAGGGCGAAGTTGTACTGCTGACTGTAGAGTGTGGCAGCATTAAGAAGTATCCCTCGGACAACCAGCATCTGCAGTGATGCTGCCTTCTCACGAGGACTTTCGAAGACAGAGCAAACACTTTCAAATCTCATAAAAAGGCCGTACGTGACCGGCCTCAAGCGGTTGTCTCTTGGGCTCTGCGGTTACGCTCCCGGGTTTTTAAGTCCGACGCTAATCCAATTTCCTTTTCAGGTTCCCTCCTATGGTGTGGGCAGCCAGGAAGCGACATTCACCCTCATACACGTAATGGCACAGATCATATCGGTCAGAATAAAATACTTCCTATACCTCTTAACTAGCTCTCCGTTGTCTCTGCCTACGGTCTCACCTCGGATGAGCTAAAAGATGAAATTTACAGAGAGCATTCGAACCTCTGATGTAGCAATAGTGCTGATGACTTTAGTGCTCAAGTACGTAGACCAAATGAGACGGCAAGACATCTAGGTAGATCTTATGGTCGAACACATTATGGAGACCATCTGCTGCAGCCATGTTCAGATAACCAAATATCTGGCAAATACCAAATTTAAACATAGGGAGAAACATCTTTTGACATGGTGACCACTAAAAATCAACTGAACGATGAACCTGACGAGACAACATTACTATCGATATCCGATGGAGAGGCTCGAGAGAAGACTGCCGCTGGTTCTGCAGTACATGTGTATATTCAGATAATGCTTCAGTGTAAGCGCGTGTTCGTCTGCGGCTTACTGGACGTAAGAAAGAAACAGCAAGTAAACCCATTGAAGTTCTACTTGACAATAAAAATGCCAAAAATATATTTTAGGAGCAACGGAAAAAACAGTAAAGCAGCCATGTAAGTAACGCCCACTCTGCAGCAACTTGGAATGACATCCAAAAAGCTGTGAAAACAGCAGTGATATCTGCCCGTAAGTGAAACCGAAAAGTAAGGGAAAATCAGTGGATTTGGTTGGTCGTGGAGATTAGAGACATTAGGAGGTGTAGAAAGGATTTGATTCTGACCGATTCGGTCACGTGTGCTTTTACGAGTATGAGGGAGGATGTTATTTCCCGGTTTCCCACAATGTGGAAGGGGCATCAGTCTTATGACTTCCGAAGGAACTCGACTTTCATCATGAGACGTCATAATTCTTCTACATGAAGAGATACTAGCTCTCAGGGCTTACATGGTTTGAATTATTTTTTAGCGTTTTTAAGCGAGTTAGATTTTTCTGGGATGGGGTCTTGTTTAATTTTATCATAGACATGCTCTTAGAAATAACCTTATCCTCGTCTGAATTTTCAGGAGTAGACCTATTACCAGGAGGCTCGCCTATCGACTTAGAATATGCCGATGACATAGTCCTACTTGGTGAAGACGCTGACAAATGCAGTCTCCTGATTATCCTAAGCAACAATGCAAGCATGTTCGGGATGAGGTTCTCACCTTCGAAATGCAAAATGTTACTTCAAGATTGGGTTGCATCGGCACCTCAACTAGTGATAGGGAGTGAAGTAGTCGAGCGGGTTGACCATTTCACTTATCTGGGAAGTCGCATCAGTGCTGATGGCCTGGAGACTGACGAAATCTCTGCACGTATACAGAAGGCTCGGCTGGCCAACGCCAACTTACGTAGCTTATTGCGTAGGCGAGATATCCGCTTGCTAACCAAAGGACGAGTGTACTGTGCAGCAGTTTGCTCCGTCCTACTATATGGCTGTGAAACATGGCCGTTAGGAGAAGAGGACTTTCGCAGGTTAGTAGTCTTCGACCATCGTTGTCTCCGAAGCATTGCTAGTGTATCCTGGGATAACCAAATAAGCAATGCTGTCGTTAGGAAACGAGTTCTAGGTAGGGATGGCAAATCAATAGATGAAGTAGTGAAACCTCATCAGTTGAGGTGGTTGGGTAATGTGTTACGTATGCCTAACCATCGACTGCCTCGACGAGCTATGTTTTGTAGTGTAGTAGTAGGTTGAAAGAGAGTTAGGGACGGCCAGACCAAAACGTGGCAGAAATCCATGAAGTCACTGACAAGTGGACTGAGTCATGTCGGTAGTTGTCGACTACCTGGTTGGGGTCCGCGAGACGAATGTCACCAATGGTTAGAGACCTTGAACGACATGGCTCAGAATCGTTTGCAATGACACAGGTGCATCCACTCTTTGTGTTCTCTCTAATTCTAACCTTCCGAATTCCTCATAATCCCTATCTTTCTCCTCCTAAATTTATCTTATGGAATTATATTAATCGAATCAGCGTCTCTGTGCTGATGTGGTATAGCAAACTGAACTGATGTACTTATGTACGAAGTTCTGCGTTGTATCAGTCTATGTCTTGCACCTAAATTAACTGTTTATCTAATAGTAGTTCTAAAAAACTATACTGAAAGAAATTTCTGTGAAAGTATAAGATGGATTCGGTTGGTCGATCAGTTTTGATTAACGTACCATGTGATAGAGTTCGGCATCCGTCCGAGTTGTTAATCGTATCAAGACTATGAGTTGCAATTAACAAAATTAATAATAAAGGGATCGAATTAATAGCAGTATCGATAAGGATATTTGTTAGTTACTAGTATTAGACACTCGTTATCTTCGAAAAATGTAGTGTATGTTGGAAACAACGACTAAACAACTCTGGACAAAGATGATAAATCTATTGATACGATCGTGAATCTTTATCGGCTGAAGTATTTCGAATATGTGTTACGTACGTCGAGTAACCGCCTACGTCAACGAGCAATAATGACTGGCGTAAAAATGGGTTATGAGAGCTATGGGAGTGAAAACTAAGACATGACATCAGTTCACTAGGTTAGTGAGTTGGAATGAAACATGTTTGCAAATATAAATTACCTGACTGAAAACTTAGGATCTAGGAGAAAGTAAAATTTATATTCACTCTAAGAATATACTAGACACTAATTAGTCCAGCGAATTATGACAAACTAAAATAAAACTTCCATAGTTGGATACTATGATTGGAATACTCAAGATCAGCCAACTTAATTATCAAAAAAATCTATCCCTAGTCGATAGGATTTTATGAGTTTAATAGAAAACACGTTGCGAAATCAGAAAGACATTAGGCTGACAACTAAACACTATCTGTTGGTCACATTCTGCTAGTTATTTTAATTAGAAAAGAGAATTCCTCACAACCTTACATATCAGTTTATATTGGGAGCGAAATAACTAAACACCGGTTTCAAACTATCGTTTTAAAGTTACTTTCGTCTAATGCCAAGGTACAAAACATGTTACTAACTATCTAATGGGTTATTTACGTGCTTAGTCTTTGGAATCGTTATATTTTACCAACTCCGAAATTTTCCTGAATATTTGCTGAATCAATAAAAACTTGGTGTCTAAATAAGTATATGATCGCACAATAATTATTACAACCAGTAAAATCTAAATGAACAAATAAACTTTTAAAGTGCGGTGTTGGGTACAATTAATTAAATAATTAAAATTTCAGAACTTACGTTGCATTCTGCATAAACCATTCAATCAACTTCTCTTTGCCTTGTGGATGATTGAAGAAAACAAAAAGTGACCAGTGCAACATCCAAGTGCGCTGTTGTAGTTGTATCAGGTACGTGCGAGACGCAGGCTAGTTGTAAAAGTGGAACGGAGTGAAATACAAGAATGGATTTTAGCAATATTAAATTGCAAACTTTAAATCACAGTAAAGAAAATTGTATGTACAGATAGTAACTCGCGCAACTGATTTGATGGTACTAAGTAATTTCGTTAGAGCCATTTAAAATGAAAAGGATTGAACAGACCAAGAGGGCCTAGTGAATAAACTTTCCACTGATTACAAAACTATACTACCGGATTTAAATAAATTTTACTGTCAAGCTAGAAAAGCACTCATTCAAAAACAACACATAAATATTTACAGCAAATCGATGTATACAGTTATATAGTCTTTAAAGTTTATAGGGATTGCAACAGTCAATCAGTCAGTCAGATGAAACGTACAACTTCGTACGTAAGTATATCAGTTCATAATGCCATACCACATTAGCATAGAGATGTAATTGTCAATTCAAATCCAATAGTAGTAGAGGTAGTAAAGGTATTAGAAGTAATCGGAGAGGTAAGGATTAGAAGATATTATTCAAGAACTATGATTCAGTGAGATAAGCTTAGAAAGACAAAACTAGAGGTGTTGAAGAATCCAGAAGATTAGGATTTGAGTGAGCACGCTGATTCGATTAATATAATTCCATAAGATAAATTTAGAAGGAGAAAGATAGGGATTATGAGGAATTCGGAAGGTTAGAATTAGAGAGAACACAAAGAGTGGATGCACCTGTGTCATTGCAAACGATTCTGAGCCATGTCGTTCAAGGTCTCTAACCATTGGTGACTTTCGTCTCGCGGACCCCAACCAGGTAGTCGACAACTACCGACATGACTCAGTCCACTTGTCAGTGACTTCATGGATTTCTGCCACGTTTTGGTCTGGCCGCCCCTAGCTTTCTTCCAACCTACTCCTACACCACAAAACATAGCTCGTCGAGGCAGTCGGTGGTTAGGCATACGTAACACATTACCCAACCACCTCAACTGATGAGGTTTCACTACTTCATCTATTGATTTGCCATCCCTACCTAGAACTCGTTTCCTAACGACAGCATTGCTTATATGGTTATCCCAGGATACACTAGCAATGCTTCGGAGACAACGATGGTCGAAGACTACTAACCTGCGAAAGTCCTCTTCTCCTAACGGCCATGTTTCACAGCCATATAGTAGGACGGAGCAAACTGCTGCACAGTACACTCGTCCTTTGGTTAGCAAGCGGATATCTCGCCTACGCAATAAGCTACGTAAGTTGGCGTTGGCCAGCCGAGCCTTCTGTATACGTGCAGAGATTTCGTCAGTCTCCAGGCCATCAGCACTGATGCGACTTCCCAGATAAGTGAAGCGGTCGACACGCTCGACTACTTCACTCCCTATCACTAGTTGAGGTGCCGATGCAACCCAATCTTGAAGTAACATTTTGCATTTCGAAGGTGAGAACCTCATCCCGAACATGCTTGCATTGTTGCTTAGGATAATCAGGAGACTGCATTTGTCAGCGTCTTCACCAAGTAGGACTATGTCATCGGCATATTCTAAGTCGATAGGCGAGCCTCCTGGTAATAGGTCTACTCCTGAAAATTCAGACGAGGATAAGATTATTTCTAAGAGCATGTCTATGATAAAATTAAACAAGAATGGAGAGAGTGGACATCCCTGACTGACACCACTTGAAGTAAGCTCTCACCCGACCATTGGTGTTCGAGTAGAGAGCTTGTATAAGGTTAATGTATTTTTTTGGTACACTTTTCAATGACAGACACTGCCACAGAACCTCATGATCCACAGATTCAAATGCCGATTTTAAGTCGAAGAAGACGCCTAAATGTGTGTCTGTGTTCCAGGAGCTGTCACGGTGCTAAAATATGATCTATACAGCCACGTTCAGATCTGAAACCTGCCTGGTTTTCTCTAGTCTGCTCTTCACAAGCTAGAGTTAGGTTAATCGAAGCTAACAATTTAGAAACTATTTTAGTTAGACTGATTCCCCCGTGATTGTCACAAGAGGACTTTTGTCCTTTCTTATAAATTGGGACAATCAGGGATTGGGACCAGTTGGATGGGATTACGTCCAGTTCCCAGATTCTACTTAATATCTCGGTCAATCTAGCGGCTAAAATCGGCATGTGAATCTGTGGATCACAATCACAGGGGAATCAGTCTAACTAATATAGTTTCTAAATTGTTAGCCTCGATTAACCTAACTCCAGATCGTGAAGAGAAGACCAGAGAAAACCAGGCTGGTTTCAGATCTGAACGTGGCTGTATAGATCACATTAGAACTGGTTACTTCAACCGGTGTCCACTCTCTCCATTCTTGTTTAATTTTGTCATAGACATGCTTCTAGATATAACATTATCTTCATCTGAATTTTCAGTAGACCTTCTACCAGGAGGCTCGCTTATCGACTTAGAATATGCTGATGACACAGTCCTACTTGGTGAAGACGCTGACAAAATGCAGTCTTTTGACTATCCTAAGCAACAATGCAAGCATGTTCGGGATGCGGTTTTCCCCCTCGAAATGCAAAATGTTACTTCAAGATTGGGTTGCATCGGCACCTCAACTAGTGATAGGGAGTGAAGTAGTCGAGCGGGTTGATCGCTTCACTTATCTGGAAAGTCGCATCAGTGCTGATGGCCTGGTGACTGACGAAATCTCAACACGGATACAGAAGGCTCGGCTGGCTAACGCCAACTTACGTAGCTTATTGCGTAGTCGAGATATCCGTTTACTGACTAATGGACGAGTGTACTGTGCAGTAGCTCTCTACGGATGCGAAACGTGGCCAGTGAGAGTAGAAGATATTCGTAGGTTACTTGTTTTCGATCATAGATATCTTCGAAGCATTGCTCGTTTATCCTGGGACAACCGACTGAGCAACGCTGTTATTAGGAAACGGGTGCTAGGTAAGAATGGTAGATCAATAGATGAAGTAATGAAACTTCATCAGTTGAGGTGGTTGTGACATGTGCTGCATATGCCTAACCACCGACTGCCTCGACGAGCTTTGTTTTGTGGTGTGTCTGTCCTGATGTGTTACGGCAACCTGAACTTATGTACTCATGAACTGATTCATGTATGCACGCACGAAGTTCTACGTTTCTGTTGACTGATTGACTTACTTATCTTTTCGACGAAAAATTCACTTATAATAAATATTTCAGTTTAATGGGACACCTGCTTTTTCATGTTGAATTCACAGTTACAAATACACAAACTGAGACAATAGTACTTTGAAACCTACAGCCAGGTGGAGGATAATGGGATAAGTTGTTCCATTCTCCCATACCATACAATGCGCAAAAGTTAAACAATGTATTTTGAATAGTCTTATGCAGATAATTGGCAATACTTACTCTGTCTTCATTTTGAAAATCTATGGCATCCTTTAACTTTTCCAAATCTTCCAATGCCTCGTCCCAGTTTTGAACTAAAATTTCGCTAGCTAGGCGGCCCCAACTGGCATCTAAATGCCTTTGTGTCCCAGGGGTTACAAGCTGGCGGACTATTTTTAGATATTCCGATGCTGCGTTGTAATTCCCAGCATCATAAAACACCTACGAAATTAAAATTAAATTTCGATATAATGGGCAAAAAATCCGTGTATTTTTAATAAAACTATGAAATCAAATTGAAGTACAATAGCTTACGCGTGCAGCTTCGAACATGTCATTCAACATCTCAGTCTTAAAGTTGTATTTAGTTTCCAGACTAGTCAATAGATCCTTGGCGTTTTTACATTGAGCAACCTCCTTCATTGTTTCTTGACTAAATATTACCTTCACTGGCATTAACTTAACCTCCATTTCTTGAATACTTTCAAGTACTTTCTCTCGCTTTTCAAGTAACCCTAGCACGTAAAATGAATAATATGGTCAAACCTTGTGGAGGATCTGTCTCGTATATACTTCTGTACGTGTCTGCAGCATAATCAACCATAGAAGTTCCTAAAAGAACTTCCCATTTGGTCTTCAGAATACTTTCTTCATCATATATCTAGCCATAAAAAAGTTTATGGATTACTTACATTTTTGACACATATGTATTCTAACAGTGGTAAAGTCAAATGTTTATCCAGAAAACCACTTATCTTCCTCGTCAAGTCGTACTCAGACATTCGGCTAACGGTGGCTGTTATGACGTAATCAGCGCTCTTCAATATCCAATATCCAATACCTTTTTCACGAGTTAGTGTAAACCAATTGATTTCTTTGCGCTCGATTCTTTCGGTACGGTTCCAGGTGTTCGGTCGTGTCCAACGAATGGAGGTCTAGCCACTCGACTGTCTAATCCTAGTCAGTTGGCAGTTGGCTGTGAGTTTGTATGTCTCGGGATTTGAATGAAAACGTTTGTTTCAGGGAAGTAGGGTTTCTGGATACCAGCATCTATCACGTTACCAGGCCGTAGACCAGTTAGTTACAATGTGGAGAATAAAAAGAAGAGAAGATTTCAGAACTAAGTAAATAATTGGACAGTTAGGTTTATTTATTGGTAGTGAAGATTGTGCGAGAGGACCAAAGTGTTAACGGGAGAAAGGAAACAGAGATAATAACTAAATTGGTGATCTGATGAGATAGCAACAGTAACGGCTAGCAGGTCTAAAGACACACATCAGGCACAGCTGGTCCATGACTGAGATGATAATCCGCATGCGAGTACGTATTTATCGAGTCTCTTTTTAAAGCTACCCACTGAGTGGGCTGTAGTCACCTCGGCTGGGAGAGCATTCCAAGTTTCAACGATCCTTAATGAGGAAAAGTGTGCTCAAACCTGAGTGTCCGCTCTGTGATGCGCAATTTTTCGAAGATTATATCGGGGGGTGTGGTGGTGATGCTTCGGTAAGTCGCTTACGTCGGGATGATTTGGAGTGTTTAACATATTGTACATTGTTCAACATCTTAGAGTTTTCCCTTGAGGATGCAAGCATTCTTCGTACCTAAAGAGTTGCGTTCCACAGGCCAGTTAGTCAAATTTGCGAGTAAAGCGATCTCGCAAGACTGGAATAAACCAGGACATTTCAGACCATTTTAAGATTATCTAGTGTGGAATAACCTCTGATTGAATCAGATATCTATAGAGCTGGGGAAATGCCTTTTCAGCTCACTTTACGACCTAGCAATAATCGTTCTTGCTCGGCTCCATATTTTCCGCTATTGATAGCAACACTATTCTCGTTTACTTTCTGAAACAGATTTCTGATATCTACCTAGATATGGTTTGATACTTCCATCAAATTCTGTCTCTATTTTCTTTTGTTAACGGAAAAGTCCAGGAAAAACGGTTAGTCCCATGAGCTTAGCCTGCACACTTACTTCAATCGAAAATTCATCATTCTTTATTACCTTGCTGACACTATTGTGTTGTTTTCGATTTATAGTCTCAATGGATCGTTTAAGAGCACTTACCTTATGTGCTGAGTATAACAACTAATATGACAGTTATACACAAAAATTCCGTACTATTGAGTATTTGTGAGTAAGGTACCAATCGCAGTTAAATTTTTCGTATTTTTTAAAGATAATTGGAGCATGACATGAAATAAGTGATTTGTCGTCCTCTACACATGCACCAAAAGAATATTTCAGTACCAAACATTTCATACATAAATGATGGATTTCCAGGATTAAGTAAAACCGCCATTAGTGTGCACCCGCCTGATGTTTGTGGTCTAAATGAAACTTTTATATTCTGTCTCATGTCATATCCTTTGGTAAATATGCGACTTCTGACTGTTCACAAACATTAACCGGTTTATGTGCAGGCGTTTGTAAGGCTGTTGCGAAGGTTTGCGTACCGAATCTGCTTGTATGAAAACATGTTAACAGGTAAATAACTCTCGAGGGAGAGCGACCTGTCGATGCTGTATTCGAGTTGACACTAGAGGCAGTGTTCGCATGTACTGAGACAATCGTTGGCCGTAATATTATCTACCAAAATTATAAATGCTCCTTGGTGTGAAAAATTCCCCAGATAGACTCAATGTCGTTCCGTATACTAGTTCAGCGGCGGAACATTGAACATGTGCCTTTAAGCTCGTTCTGATATCTGAGAGGACGAGCGATAAGGTTTCGTGCCAATTGTTGTTTTTGTGCTCGAAGAGTAGTTTTCAGTTGGCGATAAAACCGTTCAACTAAACTAATTGTTGCTGGATGGTGGTGCGTTTGCTTTCCGTACCAAGCAGGCGGGTCAGCGAGGAGAGTAAATCGGACTCGAATTGTTGCCTTCGGTCAGTTGGGACAGTCGAGGGACAACTGTGCAGCGCTATCCGTTGTTCTACGAAGCGGTGAGCAACTGTCTCCAGCGTATTAGACGTGATTGGAATATAGTCAGGCCATCTTGTGAAACGACTGATGCGCGTGAGTTTGTGCGATGGTGGTAATGTTCCAAGATGTCCATATGAACGTGATCGAAGGAAGCATCAAGCGTAGAAAACGTACCAATAGAGGCAGCGACATGCCTACGTACTTTTGATCGTTGACATTGAGGGCTTTGCTTCACTCGGACACGGGAATCCTGATTCATAGACGGCCATACGTATCGTGCAGCGGTGAGACGTAATGTGGCTGCGATACCTGGATGAGGCAGTCCGTGAAGGCCATCATAAAATAGACGACGTTAAGCGGAGGATACGAAGGGTCAGGGAAGACCAGTAGAGGTTTCGTACAGGATAGTACCTGAGGTAGTAGCCAGGGATACTTCCCAGCAGTGAAGAGGTGAAGAATGCAGTGCTTCTGTACAAGAGGAATCGCATGCTTAGGAGGCAGTCATGGTGGGGTGGTCAAGCACCACAGATGTAACCGTATTTATTTGGATACGCGACAGACCGTCGGCAACATAGTTCGACTTGCCTTTATTATTACGAAAGTCTGTCTTGAATTGGAAAATATAGTCTTAATGTCTGCACTATCGTGGTTAGTAACGACTAGACTCGGTATGTAGAGTACAGGTTAGAGGTTTGTGGTCTGTGGATAGGATGAAGTCGCAACCCTCTACTGCGTGTCGAGAATGTTTGGTTGACCTGTAGGCTGCTATGAGTTCTCGATCGAAAGCTCTATATTTTGTCTCCATGGAAGCGAAGTATCGCAAGAAAGATTCAAGAGGTTGCCAACTTCTAGAGATGTCTTGCTGCACTACAGATTCTACAGAAAATCCGACGCATAGACCGCCATACTAAGCGCGGCTGATGGGTCAGGATGAGAAAGGAGTGTGGCTTGAGCCAATGTTGTTTTGATCTCTGAAAATGCAGTACGCGCAGCATCCTTTCATTCTAATTTGCGTGGATTAAAGAATTCATTTTGAAGGCTATGTTTTGGAAAAATGCTCCATATACATATTTGTAACATGTTCTTACGGACTCTGTCTGTGCTACATTTCGATGGTCTGTTTAATCCTATTTTGCGATGGTAATATTTGTATTTTGTTATAGTTTCTATTTTCTGTACCTTTGCTGGCGTTTCTATGTTTTCTACTGAACTGTATTAGGTTGTTTAAATTGATTCTTAATTATGGCTTCAGCCATATCGGATTTGATGCTTCACAGAAACGTCCTTGGGACAGTCGCAAACATATCAAACAAGAAAACACAGCAGCAAATTACAGCCAAGGAGTTTCCTGATGGGAAATGAAATCTCATGTTCAACTGATCAGCCCATGCTGGCAAACATGAAATCCAAAATAAGTCATGTATCAAGCGAGTTCCAGGCATCTAACATCCCCAACACTCCTCACCTTTTTAATAGCGTGTGCTCCTGGGGTCTTGACTGTCGTTCGCCGCTGTGTGAGAGGATACCTTCGAGAACGAAGAACAGCTTGTTGCTGAGTTTCTCCTCGTGGCGGAGCTGCTGGTAGGTTAAAGGTATCAAACAGGATGTCAGGGGGAAGGTTTTCTGCTCTTGATGGGCTATCTTGGGCTAGCCGTTTGCGTATCTGATTTCGATGACGAGACCATTAATCACCTCCCACCTCTACTTCGTACATAACTCGACTAACTCTCCTGACCGATCGCGCTTCTACCCAAGGACTATGGTTTGTTCTTTAGTCACGGGTAAACACAGGAAATCCTACTTCGCAAACGGATTATCTTTGCTGCTTTGTCTCTACTGATGTTGGTGCATTAGTCGGATGCATCAGGCTGTGGATCGTTTTCAGTCTTCTTCCCATCAGGATTTCTGCTGTCGTCTTTTGTTCCGGTAACAACTCATTTGGTGTTGTTCGATAGACGTACAAGAAATTTTGTAACGCATCGGCTGGTGTCCCCTCCCCTTTTGACTTAACCAATGCTCTTTTAAAAGTATCCACAAACCTTTCCGCTTGCCCATTCGCTTGCGGGTGGTATGATTGCGAGCGTAAGTGTTTAATGGCTAGCCGTTGACAGGAAGTTTGGATTTGGGAACAGGTAAATTGAGAGCCATTGTCGGATACGACCACATCTGGTATGCCATTTCGCGAGAAAATCTCAGTTAGAAGCTGTATTGTCTTAGTTGTCGTGGGCGGCATGTTACGGGAGAAATAAAGACATTTGGCTGGTTAAAACATTTATATAAATATCATTAATTTCACTGTTTTTTGGGGTATATTTGTTTTACTTAACTTATGAACTTGTTTGATTTATTATTTTCGGACATTTTGATTTCTGTTTGTCTTCGTTTTCTAATTGGCAGTTTTTGCTCCAGGAACCTATAAGATTGAAGGTATTTGTAGTTATTATAATTATTGTTGTTAGAACAACATTTTGGTCGACTATTTGTGAATTGCGAATAAACTTGGTTACATAACTTTGGAGTTTTGGTTCTGTTGTTAATTTGGGTTCGTAAATTGCAAATAGATCGACATACTGTACTTCAATAACGGGAAGGAGCAAAACTTGAACGTAATAGGCATAACGGGGGTGATTTCTAGCCATTTTGAGGCGTCGACCACAAATACATACGTAGTTCCATTGATTGGACCAACGAAGTCAACGTGTTTCATGGACCAAGGATGATCAGGTTTGAGTCATGAAACCGGCGGAATTTTGGCACTCATTTTTGGCGCCTGCTGACACCGCATGCATTTTTCCACCACCACTGTGATATGTTGATCCATGTGAGGCCAGTATGCATAACTTCTGGCTATGGATGTAGAATTCTTTTTGAATGTTTTGTTTTTGGGAAAATCCCTCCATGTTTACATATTTTTGCTATGACCTGATGGACTTTTTCTCTTGACATTTTTGGTATTTTATTTGATTCCAATTTGAGATTTTACCATTGTATGTTGTTATTCTTTCCATATTTTGTACTTATA